CCCCCGTCTTTTCCCACCAGCAGCCACTGCTCACAGGCTGGTGTGAACACTCCCAGAAAAGCTTCTGTGTTGTGGATCGGTGCCACGTCACCCCCCTCGTCAGCCACATGCTGCGGTTTACACACCCAGACACCCTGGCATGGCCAAACTCCCTACCAAGGGCTCTTGAAGCAATCATTTCCAGGAGAAGAGCAGAGCCACAGTCCGTCGCTTCGCAGACACACATGGCACATGGGTGTGAGCGGCACAAGCAAAGTCAGGGAACCACAGACTGGCAGAGACACCTCCACCAGGCACGTTGCACCAGGCTTGGGGCAAACACTGTCTGCTCTCACAATCCACTAGCCTCCCGCCTGGCTCTGGCACTAAGGGGACAGAAGGAGCTGGAGGTCAGGCCAGGCCAGGTGGGGAAGGGCTGGCGGTGAGTGGAAGGGGGCAGCCTTTCTGAGATGGAGCTGTGGGGAGAAGCCCTCTGGATACTGGAGGCTGGAGAGGAGGCTCTGGACCCAGGGCAGGCTGGAGGGGTTTGTTTACTTGCAGGACAAGCCAGTCAGCTGGACCCCAGGCAGCAGTGGGAGACGAGGAAGATGAGTTCAACGATGAGGAAGAAGGCGCCGCCCACCACCAGCTCCCGGGCTCAGGGGAGGCCGCGAGCTGCAGAGAGAGGAGAGTCTAGAGTGGAACCAGCAGGCGCATATCATAGCGGATCACAAGACACGTGATGTCTGTGCCTCCCGCAATCCTGGCCAACTCCCCTGGATCTCAAGCACTGAGACGTAGAACCCGCCCCCAGCCCTTCTCTGTCTGACAGGTGGGCACTGACCCCTGATCCTCCCGTCCGAGTGTCTGTCCCGCCCAGGACAGCTTCTCCACCAGCACCCTGCCCCCTGACCTTGCCCCACATCTCTGTCGGTGCAGTTGGGTAAGGGTTAGCTTAGGAAGGGACATTTGGATAAGTCCAGGGGAGATGTAAGGAGCTTAGAGCTCAAAAGGTTCTTCGGGGGCTCCAGCTAATAATGACACAATGGGGAGGTCAGACTCTTTGTTTTCTGTACCTCTCACCTCATCCCACCTCTCTTTCCCAGGAGAGCTCGGTAGGACCGTTCTCCTCCAACAGGAGCCACCCAGAAAGCCAAAGGAATGAGGTAGGGACGGACGCCTCACCTGTCCTGGGGTTACTCATGGGGATGTTCACAGACTGGCTCCTGGAGGACGGGACCCACCTCCCGCTCACGTTCTTCTCGTACCCGCAGGTGAAGTCGCCCATGTGGCTGGGACCGGCCTTGAGGACGCGGGTCACAGAGACATTCACAGAGCCAGAGCTGGGCTCCCCTGCGTCGATCTCAGACCCTGCGCCCCTGGGGACCATCTCAAGTCCATCCTTGTAGAAGTGGAACCTCCACTGGCCGGTGTCCCCGGGGGCTGTGCAAGTGAGGAGCAGGGGGGGACCTTTGCTCACGGGTCCGGACGGGGGATCCCCACTCGGTGCCGGCTTGGAAGAGGAACCTGTGGGGAGCAGGAAAAGGGAGGGGTCAGCGCGGGACAAAGCGGAGCTGGTGCCCAGAATTCAATGTACTCAGAGCAGACCCATGCTCTGTCTCCAGAGTTTCCAGCTTCACTTCAGGACCCGGGGCCGGATTAAGGGGAGGGGTAGCTGGGCAGCTGCCTGGGGCTCCAATCTATGGGGTATGCCTGATGGCAGCTGTAAGGGGCACCGCACGCCTGGCCATGCAGCACCCCTTAGAGCTGACATCAGGTGCCACACACCCGATTGCAGCTGTAAGATGCACAGTGCACCGGGGGGCAGGACCACACATGCACCATGCGCCCGGGGGTGGAGTAGCACATGCATCGCACGCCCACTGCCCGGGCTGCAGGAATGGCTCGAGCCGACCCTGTCAGAACCCAGAGGGTTTGGGCACAGACGTGAGGGAGAACTGGGCTGGGGGATGGGTGGCGTCCCTCAGATACACTGTGGTGCCCCCACGTTGGATCCGGCAGCCCAGCGAGTGGGGAACAGGCTCTGCAGGGAGGTACCCGAGTTGCCCAGGGCTCAGCATGAGAGACAGAGGAGGGGGTGCCCTGATGGGTCTCTGCAGGGGAGGGAAGGGGAGGAGAGAGGCAGATGTTACCAGGCCAAATTCATGTCAGGAGTTAGAGGGGGATGGAGAGTTCTCTGTGGGACACGCCCTGCGCCCCTGCACCTCACTGAGCCCTGCAAGGGCAGGGCCTCTCCATGAGGAACTCCCTAGCTGGGCTGGGCTGCCCAGAGCATGTGGAGCTCCCACACCGGCTGGGGGGGCACGGCTCCATGTGGTCGCGCTGAGGCTGAGAGGTCCCAGGGTGGATTCTGCCACCGGTGTTACACAGAGCGAGAGTGGGGGAGCTGCCTCTCCCTTGGCACCAGTGATGACACTAGAG